ATATTGACCCACTGTCATTGCAGCACTTGCTTCTACTAGAGTGTAAGATACAATTCTCGCTTTGATTTATCCTGTTTACGAGAAGGCACATAGTGAACTCTCAGCATATAAACACAGAAAAACTGAATTTCAATAAAGAATAGCAGTCACGGCAAGATAATATGAAAGAAAATTGGCCTCTGTAAATGTTGTTTATTATCTTAAGCAATTTGAAAGACTTTATGAAGACAATAGGATTGGGGAGGATTACATAGCTATGAAAGCCCTTAAAAATATTTTAGTGTGGGGCTCCTGGGTGGCTCAGTTGGTTGGGCGACTGCCTTCGGCTCAGGTCGTGATCCTGGAGTCGTGGGATCGAGTCCAAAAACAAAAAACAAAAAACAAAATATATTTTAGTGTGGTTAAGATAATAAACTGCACGCTAAATAGATGATCAGCAAAATTTGGGTAATATAGACTTCCATGGTTTGCTTTCATGACACTCCAGGATCTTCCTATCCATTTATCATCCCTGACTGCAGACAATGTATATTCTAAGAGCAACTTATTTGCAGTGGGTTTTTTCCCCACCAATTAAACATTTAAAGCTTTTTTTTTTTTTTTTAATTATAAAAAAGTTGTTAACCTTCTTGATTCCACTCTGGTCTCAGAAATACAGAGTATATTAGGTGACTGAGATTTTATTTATTTTTTTATTTTTTTTTTTAAAGATTTATTTATTTATTTGAGAGAGCGAGAATGAGAGACAGAGAGTACATGAGAGGGGGGGAGGGTCAGAGGGAGAAGCAGGCTTCCCGTCGAGCAGGGAAGCCTGATGCAGGACTCGATCCCGGGACTCTGGGATCACGACCTGAGCCGAAGGCAGACGCTTAACGACTGAGCCACCCAGGTGACTGAGATTTTAAAAGATGCTTTCGGGGCACCTGGCTGGCTCAGTCAGAGGAGCATGCAACTCTTGATCCCTGGGTCTCAGGGTCTTGAGTTTGAGCTTCACGTTGGGTATGGAGATTACCATGAAAAATAAATAAGCTTTAAAAAAAAAAAGATGCTTTGGATAATCCCTGTGACATCAGTTAATCTTCCCCTTTTAAGCATACTTTAGCACACTTTTCTTTCCCCATCTTCATACAACTGCTTCTCTACCAGGGTTCTCAACAAAACAGACCAAAAAACCTTGTCTGCTCCTCTTCCTCCATTCCCCAGCACTCAACTTTCTGTGTCTTTCTTCCAGAATGACCTTATATAAGTTTTCTGAAATAAAATTCTCAAGATTGAATGAAAAAAAAGCTGAGTACCTATGTATTAATTTAATAACTGTCGATGCTATGTAGTGGGTCTATGGAGGTTCATTATACTATTTGTGCTCCTGTGCACTTCAAGTTTTCCACAATAATGTAAGAAGGATATTCAGTCCGGTATTGAAAAAGTTAGGGTTGGCATTATAATTTTGGGACTCATCAAAATAAAGATGACATTTAAAGCCACGGGACTGGATGAAAACACTTAGGAAAAGTATAGGTAGAAAAGAATATAGGACTAAAATGTAGGCAACTCTAATATTTAGAAGTCAGACAAATAAGATAAAGCAAAGTAGACTGGGTTGCCAGGAAACCAGGAAGTGAGATGTTCTTGGAGCCTAGAGAAGAAAATATTTCAAAAATGTGGAAGGGGCCAAGTGTGTCAAATGCCACCTAAAGGCTAAAAGAGAACTAAGAATTTACCTTCTGGATTTGTCAAGATGGAGGTTTAGACAATTCTTTGCAGAGATTTTACTATAAAAGGAAACACAAAAATTAAGTAGTGGCTGGATGGGAACAGAAGTCAGAAAAAGTTTTTCGTTTTCTTCTCTTTTGAGATACCTGATACTGAGGCTTAGTGTACTGCTAGAATGACCTAGTTGAAAGGGGAAAACAGATGCAGGAGGGCTGTAACAGAAGAATCAAGGTCCTGAATGAAATACAGAAAAGTACAAGTAGAGGGACTATTTCTTCTGTGTGTAACAGGAAGAAAGGCAAAATTTATAGATTCAAATATATAGGGATGGTAGAATAGATGGAGGGTAGATGAGGTAGTGTCAATCTTCACAGCTTAACTCTCTACGCTTTAGATGGCCAGTAACACAAGAAGTAACATGGGAAGAACCTACCTCATAAAATTTCTGTGAGGATCCAACTGTCAAAAAGCCAACATTCAACATCAACTTAGTAGAAACTGTTATTAAGACTCCTAGTTCAGGGGCACCTGGGTGGCTCAGCCGTTAAGCGTCTGCCTTTGGCTCAGGTCATGATCCCAGGGTCCTGGGATCGAGCCCCGCACGGAGCCCCTCATCAGGCTCCCTGCTCCGCGGGAAGCCTACTTCTCCCTCTTCTACTTCCCCTGCTTGTGTTCCCTCTCTTGTGGTGTCTCTGTCAAATAAATAAAATCTCCCCCCTCAAAAGACTCCTAGTTCAATTCTCCATCAACTCAACAAAATTATCAAGCTATCATTTTGCATTTAATAAAGTACCACAACTAAAAATAACAATGATGGATGTAACTTAATGGAATTGAGGGTGTCAGAAATGGCTTTTCTGAGACATTTAAACTAAAAGCTACCTGAGTTATAGGCACTAACTTGACAAAGGTAGGGGTATTAGAAGTTCAAGGAGGTTTAGAAACAAATAAACAAAAGGTCTATTGTGGCTGACAATTAAGGGCCAGATTACAAATCAACTAAAACCATGTGAACATTTATCCTCAGTGATTTCCAATACCATCTTTGGGTCAAAATGAGCTCTTCATAAACATTATATCAAGTACATATTTTAGTTTACACTGAAGCCAACGCAAGTCCAACTGAGAGGTGAAAACAATTCATGGACTTTGATTAGACCATAAACTATAAACCAAGGAGACAGATTTCCCCTTTCTTGCCTACTCACACAGAGGTCATGTTGAATCCTTGGGCTTGTTCAAGCCAAGCAGTTAAGCGTGGAAGCTGGTAATTCTTATTTGCCATAGATATTATAAATTACACTTTTGTCATCACTGAGCTAAGATAGCAACTTAGTAACTTTTTTTGGAGTTCAAAAAAAATCCCTTCAATTAGTTTTTTAAAAGACTGGTATGTAAATATTAGCAGAATCTGAATTTCCTTTTTTAAAAAGATTTTATTTATTTATTTGACAGAGAGAGCACAAGCAGGGGGAGCGACAGGCAGAGGGAGAAGGAGGAGACTCCCCGCTGAGCAAGGAGCTGATTCCCAGGATCGAGATCATAACGGGAGAAGAAAGCAGCCACTTAACCGACTGAGCCATCCAGGAGCCCCCAGAATGTGAATTTCCTAACCATTCACAAAATATAGCAGAAGTCAAAAATCAAAATTTTCTTTTCTTACTATTAGGGCACCTGTCATGATTTTCAACATAATGCAAGTCTTAAAAATTAGAACAAGACAGAAAAGTGCGAACCAAGGAAAATAAAAAATAACCTGGGATATTTCCTGAAAACAGGCATATAAAAGGTCAGTCAGGTGGCAGGTAGGTGGAAGAGTGCTGTTTATGTAAATGATCAAAAAACATTTTAAGACTAGAAAGTTTCAAAAGCCCTCAGTATAACATGGAAGGAGGGGAAATGTGTTCCTGAACAAAGACATACTGTCAAAAAGGGGAGTATTTCTATGTATTTTGTAATATTTCTATAGCACTGAATGTTGGCAGTCATTTTGACCTTTACAGTAGCATAATAGTTCATCTTTTTCTGTACTAAATTTGACTCATATTTAAGAGGAGCAACATCGATTAAGAAAATATCAACTGCTACAATTACCCTAAAAAGTAATACAGCTGTCCTATTTTCTTAGACATCACATTTTAACAAATTTACACGTGAAAAGTATTCAAAAACAAAGATTAATCTTAACTGGAGAGAAATCTGCACCTACACGTTTCCTTGCTATATAAATTGTATTTTCTCGAGATTTTGGACTCATTTTTGAATCTGCAAAGGCTTTTCATAGCTATGACCACAAAAAGGCTGACCAGATAGCATTGATTTAAAGCTTGTCTTAAAGCTTGCCCTACCATTTAGAAAATTTAGCCTCTCTAAACACACCAGGCACAGACTCTCCTTTGATTGCATTACCGAATTAAGGAACAAAGTTTGTTCAACTGTGAATCACAAATTGTAAAATCCGTGCCAATTTATAGCAGGAGTCAGTTTTTTGTCTGTTAAAGAAACAAGAGAAGGTAATTAAGTACAGGGGTCTGCGGTGGTACCTGCTACTCTTGCTGAAATTCAGATTACCGGGTTCCATCCCTAGTCGGACGGAACCCCTTTTAAGAAGTGGGCCTCTGGGATTCTGAACGTGCTCGCCAGAAATTGTGAACCACGGTCCTGCAACCCACCAAACCACCTCATCCTGGAAGGTAAAATTAGTTTACTTCGGCAAAGTTTTGACAAAATGTCTTGGTAAAGGCTGATTCGGACCGGAGAGGAACTTCTAAAACATTCAGTTGATTGCTCCAATCTACACCAAACAGCGAAGGAGAGCGAGTAAAGATGAGCGCACGCTGAGCGCCGAAGCGTTTCCGCAAACGTAAATTGCCCTTTCTTCCGAGGGTAAAGAATTTGGGGTTCAGGGTCGACTTACTCAACCCTAACTGCAAAGAACCGTTCTTTCTGACTCCTCTAGGGTCTTTCACAGGACTACACGCAGTGCCGCCAGCACAGTCTCTCGTGAGGTCCCAAACGGGCCCGAGCTCGATGAAAATTGTGCTTGCGCGACAGTCATAAACGCGGCGGCCTTAGGCCGCGCGTGCGCAGCGAAGCACTGAGCTCGCGACAAAGTCCGTTTCCTGACTTTTGCAGGAAGCAGCGTTGCATCACTTCCGGCCTCCCTTTAGCTGCCATCTTGCGTCCCCGCGTGTGTGCACCTAATCTCAGCTGGTCCGCCCGAGACCCCCTGAGCGCCAACCCTATTCCCCCGCGCGGTCCCATTTCCGCTCCAACAAGGTACAAAAAGGCTTTGGACGCCGGCGTGGGAGGAGGACGGGAACGGGGGCGGGAAGTGCCCGGAAGGAGCGAGACAGGGAGGGACAGGGCTGAGGAGAGGAAGGCGATGCGACGGACAGGCGCACCCACTCAGGCTGACTCTCGGGGGCGAGGTCGAGCCAGGGGCGGCTGCCCTGGGGGCGAGGCGACGCCGTCTCTTCCTCCACCTCGCGGCGGAACCCGAGGACAGGAGCCTCAGGTACCGCGAGGCTTGCGGAGAGTGGCCGGGCCGGGCAGGCCCTGGCTAGGCCGAGGCCGGGCCAGGGCCGGGGGTGGGGGGTGCTGACCCTGCGTGGGTTAGAGCCCTTTTCTCGGGCCTGTAAGGGCGGGGGGAGGCAGTTGTGGAGGAGGGGTAGGAAGATGGGTGTTCTTTACGCTCCCTCAAAACTGAAATTGGGAGCTTTGCGGGGTGGATTGGGGATTCAGGCCTCGGCCTGTTTAGAATATTTTTTTCTTTGCTGATGTCTTGGGAAATAACGAGCGTGGAATGCTGGAGTGAACCAGACCTTTCCTCGCTGAGGGTTTCCTGTTTTTCTAGATGAAAGAAACTATCATGAACCAGGAGAAACTCGCCAAGCTGCAAGCACAAGTGCGCATTGGTGGGAAAGTAAGTTTTAATAGTTTTTTGGGCTTTTGGAAGCTTAAAGGTTGGGGGTGGTTTTTTGGTTTTTGGATTTGCTTTTCTTGTATTGTTGGCTTGTCACTGTCTCTAGAGGGCATTTCATAGAGCTAGCCAAGCGGGGGTGGGGGGAGGAGGCGGGGTTAAATGATGTACAATAGAGTGTATCTGGGACATGCACGTTGTAGATTAAAAGAAAAAAGTGAGTAGATGAAAAGAGAACTTAATAAACATTACTTCTGTGTAAATATGTTTTCAGTGTTACAGTGTTTTAGTAGAACAAAAGTGTTTCCTGGTTTAAGTAGTAAGAAAATGTGCCATTTTGGTTAGGTAATCATTGTGGACATCATACTCCTAACTTGTTTGGCCTAAGTTGTATACATTCAGTGCTTTGCTTTTTTTTTTTTTTTTTTTTATTAACTATGCTGACTCTGAACTTGAGTTCCACCTGTCTTTTGAACTGTAGTTTATAATGTAATGTAAGGTTCTGGGTAATTGTTGTACTTAATACTTAGAAGTTTGTGTGTTTCGTAAGTTAAGACCTTTCTGTAATGCTTTCTTAAATGCAATTCAGAGTAGTTGTATATTTTCTAGGCTGTTTGGAAGATACCTATGTTAGCGGTACATCACAGAATTTAAGAGCAGTGACTATGGATTTGAAAATATTACTTAAACAGATATCTTTCAATTTGATTTTGTTAATATGCTAAAACTGAGAGAATGAGAATGATCGTAGGTTTTTAGGTTTTTGGCTAATTGGTTTTTTTTTTTTCCTGCTGGATACTAATCTTCAAGAGTACTCTTTGTTGAACTTGGAAGTTTTAGATTGTTTTCTGAGTAAGTTATTTAAATCAGAAGTCCGCTCTAGACAGGTCTACTTTATATTTTGCATTGTGTTAGCACATTCCTAGTATTTAACAAGGTGTGGTAGCCTGTGGGAACAGAGCATGTCTTTACTTGGTAAAACTTGTAAAGCTTCCCTAGGACAAGTTTATTACCTATTAGTTTTTCCCAATTTTAAGCATTTGCCTTCAAGTAGAATCTTCTGTGAAGTAGCCAAAAGTTGCATGGAGGCTTAAATAATGAGATGTGCATCTGTTAAATTACTGGACTTTGTCAACAATGAATATATCGTGATCCTTTTTTCTTTCCTGAAGCTAGTAGTCTTCAGGATCTGCACCTGCTCATTAACAGATAGTAGGTGTTTCTTGTTCTTAGCAATTGTTAAAAGCTAGGTGTGGCCTTCAGGTCCCAGAAAAACTCATTATCCTTTGTGGTCAGTGTTTCGATGTTCTTATATTAGTGTTTTTAACTATCATTTAGTACCGGTTTCACAAGAAATACTTTGAATAATGTGCTTGTGTGCTTTCTTTTGTTACTCTGATCATTAGTCTTTAGCTATTAGAAACAAATTTCTAGGCAAGGAAAGCCTAGGTTTTTTAGATTTTTAAGGCTGATGTAGGATTGAACTTTAGTTAATATAGGAAATACTAATGTCATCGTAATAAGGAAATAATTTCATTTTTAAAAAACTTTATTATGGAATGAAATTTAGTGAGTGAGTTTTGCCTTAGAGAAATCTGTGTTAGGTGCTTTCAGGTAAGTAGTATAAAAGTGCTTTTATTCAGTATCCGATCAGAGCATTGATATAAATTGTATCAGTAAAAATTGAACTCTATAGATGTGAATTGTATAGAACTTATAGAAGGTGTGTCAGTTTTGTTTTTAGAATCTTATAGTAATCATTTAGAATGTCTTTTAGAATTCTTTGAAAACCAGACTCTACATGTCCACATTAAAGTGATTTTTATTCTTAAAGGTTTTTTGGGGAGTTGGTAGCCAGTATTTTTTGTAGCTTTTGATATGTTATTCAGTTCAGCTATCATTTACTTAAGATTAACTGTGCTCAGGCCTGAGAATACGAAATTTAAGAAATTTATGGTCGCTAAGGGGACTTTAACACTAGTAGGGGAGATTTTTTTTTTTAATCTGTTTTCATAGTGTAATATACATAGTGCAGTAGAAGCATTTTTGAAATATAGAGATAGGAATGATTTTGCTTGGCAGTTTTTTGCAGAGTTTAGGGAAGACACAAAAGAGGTAATGCTTTGAATAGGGTTTTAAAGGACAAATAGGAATTGGTGTGTAGGTTGGGGTATAATGAAGTAGGTAAAGAGCCTTATGTATCATGTAAAGGGCTTAATCTGTACATAAAAGTTCTTGAGAGTGTTACTAAAGAGTGTCAAGCAGAAAATGAGTCACATTTGCCTAGTTTTTTTTGTTTTTTCTTTTTTAAGATTTTATTTATTTGAGAGAGAGAGAGAGAGAGAGAGCACATGAGAGGGGGGAAGGTCAGAGGGAGAAGCAGACTCCCTGCTGAGCAGGGAGCCCGATGCAGGACTCGATCCTTGGACTCCAGGATCATGACCTGAGCTGAAGGCAGTCGCCTAACCAACTGAGCCACCCAGGCGCCCTCACATTTGCCTAGTTTTGAAAGTTTATGGGATATATTTGAGAAGGGGTATATCTGTACTTGGTATATACATACAAGAGGCCACAAGTTTTCTTGAAGCTTGTATTCATTCAAGTTACTGAGTACCTTCAGTGAGCCAGATACTGTTCTCAATACTGTTCATAGCAGTAAACAGAATGGAAGCTCTTGAGGTTACATTCTAGTGAGGGGAGACAAACAATAAGATACATTTATGATTGTTATGAAAAAATAAATAAACTTGAATAGATAGATGATGACTGTAGGAGTTGCTTTTTTACATAGGGTGGTTGGGAAAGGCCATTGATAACGGTGACATAAGAATAGAGATCTGTAGTAAGGGAGGGAACCAGTGCAGATGGTAGGGGAAGAAAGGAATAGTATGTGCAAAGGCTCTTTTTGGCCTGTTGAAGGAACTGTGAGGAGGTTTATTTGGCTAAAGATGAGAATGTGTGTGTGTGATAGAGGTGGTCAAGAACAGCATAGTAGGGTTGGGGCAGATCATGTAGAGGCCTTGTGAGTTAAGGTAAGAACTTCCAAAATTTTATTCTTAGGTATTATAAAAGTCTATATAGACTCATTTGAGTGTGTCCATACACTCACTGTCTTGCCTGTGAATATTAATGGCTGTTGATTTTTCATTAATTAAAAACAGAAAAGGTTAATAGTTCTGGACATGGAACTTTTAAATGAGGGTTAATTTAGGTTGATACATGCCACCTCTTTGATCACTTCTAGAGCAGATAATCTAAAAAAAAAAAGACTTTGAAGAGATTCTTTTATATATGACAATCAGAAGCTTAGAAGTTATTAAGGATTTATAGACAATTCCTTTGTTAATCTCTTTCTGCTTCCATCATTTCCTACTTGCTGCCTAAAAGTTTGTGCTTATGGTAATTTTCTTAAACAGATACAAAGGTCAGAAAGGGATTAGAAACTTTCCGTTTGAAAATGTCAGTTGTTATGGTATATATATGTGTGTGTTTTCTTTTCTCCTCACTCTAGGGAACTGCTCGCCGAAAGAAGAAGGTGGTTCATAGAACGGCTACAGCAGATGATAAAAAACTTCAGTTCTCCTTAAAGAAGTTAGGGGTAAACAATATCTCTGGTATTGAAGAAGTAAGTGTCAAATTTTATTTCTTTATAAAACAAGTTTTGGTTGGAAAAAGCTTCAGTGGGCATGCATCATTTTTTATTTACTTATTTTTCTCCCAACAGAGAATTTCATATCCCTCTAAAACAGATTTCTATTCCACTAGTGAATATTAGGGAGTGCCAAGTCTGAAAGAGATTAGATTGCACTTTCCATTCCAGGCAAAATATCATTTGTGCTTCACAGTGAAATAGTGGATTAGTTAGCCAGCCTTGGGCTTTTCCTTAATAGAATGTTTGATTTTTAAAGAATTTTGGTGGGTGTTGCTAATTACCTTTTTTTTCTTTGTAGGTGAATATGTTCACAAACCAAGGAACAGTGATCCATTTTAACAACCCCAAAGTTCAGGCATCACTGGCAGCGAATACTTTCACCATTACAGGCCATGCTGAGACAAAGCAGCTGACAGAAATGCTACCCAGTATCTTAAACCAACTTGGTGCAGACAGTCTGACTAGTTTAAGAAGACTGGCTGAAGCTCTGCCCAAACAATGTGAGTTTTTTGTAGTGGTTTTGCCCAGGGTTACTGATTTATCAGGAAATTTCTAAGATCTCAAGTAGATACGAATATCTTTAAATTTAGAAATGGCAGTTTTCCTCTAAAAAGTGCCAATTTTTACAGTGACCTTTAACCAGGTGTTCTTAGTGTGTTTAGTAAGTTAACTAGTATACTGTGATCATTATACTTGATTTAGTGGAATATTTGTTTTCTATCTTGCTTTGGACTAGTGATTTAAAATTTTTACCTTTATCAGCTGGAAATGATAATGTTAATTTGGGGCTTTTTTGATAACTGAAAGTTTAGAATTAAAATACGTTATAAATTGTCAAATTTTTTCAGTCGTATTTACAAGTGGTATTACCAGTAATGTTTAAGAATTGGCCTGGCATTGGGCGCCTGGGTGGCTCAGTTGGTTGGGCGACTGCCTTCGGCTCAGGTCATGATCCTGGAGTCCCGGGATCGAGTCCCACATCGGGCTCCCTGCTCATCGGGGAGTCTGCTTCTCCCTCTGACCCTCTTCCCTCTTATGCTCTCTATCTCTCATTCTCTCTCAAATAAAAAAAAAAAAAAAAAAAGGCCTGGCATTATTCAGGTGTTTTTAATTATACAAGGATTTTGTTCAGGGCAGAAAATCTTGTAGTTGAGTAAGTGCATTAAGAGACATAGTTACTTTATGCTGTGGTCCTCTGATTAAAATTTTGAAGAATGGCAATGTAGAAGAAAGACAAACTTATTATATGGTCCATTTAGTCATCCATGTTTTTCTAGGCATTCACTCTTTCTGCTTTGACATTTTATATACATACAGTTTGGGGGGTTTTTCCTAGTGTGTGTGTGTGTGTTTCACAGTGAGAGGCATAAGATCTTATTCTAGAAAGTCTTAGGCCTTCAGAGCTAAAGTAGGTTTTGGAAATACTGAAAATCTGATAGGATTAGTACTGTGAGGTCTCAACTCCAAGTGTAGTTCACTTTCTTGTGTATTAGAAAGTTGATGCTTACCACCAATCAAAGGCACTTAATTTTTTGATCATTTTCATTTCAGTAAAGGTTTGTTAAGCACCTCCCATAAACCATGCACAAAACAACATTATTTTAGAAAACAGTCTCTTAATTTTTGCCTCCCAAAAGAAATCTTCCCATAATTTGGTGTATGGGTTTACCTCTACCCTGAGGTCACTCTATTGTTTTTATTCCACCTCAGGGCCTGTGATGGGCCAGAGGGATTGAAAAGATGGGGATGGGATTTGTTTTGTTGGCTGTGCACAGGATTGTAGTTCATTTGTAGACATTGGGCTACCATGTTATTAGTACTTAGGGATGAAATCTCATGTCACTGTTGTCATATGAATGTAAGTTGTAACAACACTTGACCTTTCATCTGTTCTTTTGGTTAATGTTTATTAAAGACGTAACAAACGTGTAACCTCTACATTTCCCTTTCACAGCTGTGGATGGAAAAGCACCACTTGCTACTGGAGAGGATGATGATGATGAAGTTCCGGGTAGGAACCTTCACTTATGGCCAACGTAGAGAATCTTAGAAGGAAGAATAACAAATCTTTATACTGTAGGAAAGCCTCCCTTGGGGGAATTGGTAATAAGGTAAAGGACAGGAAAGGAAGACATGAACCTCGCTTAGAATGAAAAAAAATAATGCAGTGTTACTATAACTAGGAGTTATGTTTGCAGACTGGGCTTTTTCTGATTGGAAACTTCAAATACTGAGCAAGCATGTATGTTGTCACGTAAATAGAATAACTGGTAGACCACTAACGACCCATTTCCTAGTTAGGGATTAATAAATTGATGAGAAGGCATGGAGAAGTTCAGGCATCTTGGGATATGGTATAACCATTCTAAAATAAGAAAAACTCTTGGCAATCAGGAGGGATTTTTCTGTTAGCTGTTACTTGATAATTTTGTTGCAAAACATGTTTATTGAGCAGGAGAATCACTGGACTGAAATATTTTCACTTTGCATAGGCAGGTGTCCTTTTGGAATCCAGGAAAACTTCATATTGTTTGTGATGGTGTTCTTTGGTTCTGACGCCTATGTTTACTAATATATTAATATTGCTTAATTTTAATACTTGGGGTGAAATGGCACTAGGGAGGGCACGTACATATTTTTTAAGCATAGTATTTATGTCATCAGATTAATGAATTTTCCTCCTTCCCTTGTTTTAATTACATGCCAAAATGTACACTTGAAAATGTGCCACATGGGTAGTAGTCTCATTGGAAATAAAGTATTTAAACGTGTATCTTGATTTTAACTGTAGGATATATTTTGAGAGCATTTTTAATCTCTTTAGAATCTGATGATTTGTAGATTTGGAGTTTTTTCAAAGTTTGTCTTTTTTTCTAGATCTTGTGGAGAATTTTGATGAAGCTTCTAAGAATGAAGCAAACTGAATTGAGTCAACTTCTGAAGAACATAAAACTTGAAGAAGTTACTGGGAGCTGCTATTTTATATTATGACTGCTTTTTAAAATTTTGTTCATGGATCTGATAAAATCTAGATCTCTAATATTTTTAAGCCCAAGCCCCTTGGACACTGCAGCTCTTTTCAGTTTTTGCTTATACACAATTCATTCTTTGCAGCTATTTAAGCTGAAGAAGCCTGGGAATAAAGTTTGAAACAAGGTTAATAAAGTTCTTTGCCTAGGATATGGTTTTATTTTTTATTTCATTGACATTGATTTGTACACAGAAAGCAAAGTTGTTTATAGAAAGCTAATCATGGCATGTAATATAGCTGGTAATTGATGAAATTTGATTGAAGATTTTAAATGGCCGTATAATATAACAAAGGTGGTATCAAGTTTTCATGTTTTAAACTTTTCTCCAGCAGTCCTCAGGGCTTCAGTAATGTATGTAATGGGTATAAATTATAAAGAATGGAATATTGCTTAGTGGGTGAGCAAGAGGTTTTTTTTCTCTTAATATTGTCTATATTGTAAGTATATACTAAGTGCCTTTAACATATTGCACTTAATTTTCTCTCATTTAATCCTCAGTCTATGAAGTAGGGATTTGTAGCTCCATTTTCTAGTTGTAACTCAAGGTTACCTAAAAAAAGTGGAAGTAATCTCTTAACTCTCTTCCTTGTAAGATATTCTGTAAGACACCTGAGAAAAGCTAGTGTTTGCATTAGGAATGTCACCTCGTCTTAAATTTAAAGTGGTGGAGGGCAACTTTTTCTCTCAAAAAAATCTTAAAGTTGACGTGTATACAGTTGTAAGAAATTTAACACACATATTTGTCCCTGCACCCCAATCAGGATACTGAACAGTTTCATCATCCCAGATATAAGGCTACTTAAAAAACTTAGCAATCATGTTGAAGTAAAAATTTACAAATGGCAATTAAAATAAATGTGTCATCTGCATCGAGGCAAATGAGAAAATTGTCTTAGTTTCTACTTGTAGCCATAAGAATTCATTTTAAATTTATATAACAATTTGCAAGTACTGTCTGAGGGTACTATGCAGCTTTATCTAAAGTCACTGTAAGTAAGCTACCAAAAATGAAATACTTGTATAAATAGTATTTGCACATCTTAACATTGTATTGTTTTCAAAGGATGTTTATCAGTCTTGATAAAGTACACTGCTACAGTAACAGACTTCACAGTCTCAATGGTTTACAAAATTACAAAGAAAAAGTACATGTTTCCAGACTATTGTGGGTCTTGTTGGGCTCTGCTACATAATCACTCTAGCCCCCAGACTGGCAACCTCTTCCTGAAACACTCTGCTTCCTGGCAGAGTAAGAAGAAGGTGGGTCATTTGCTGGCTTTTAAAGCTGTTAGTCACAAAGGTCACTAGTATGTAACCAACTAAGTGGAATGGCTAAAGGAAGGCAGAAGATTGGGAAGGCCTGGAGTGGGGCCTGTGGGTTTGCATTTCTGATAAGGTCCCAGGTGATTCTGATATATCATGCAGGTCCACTGACCATGCTTTGAGGAGATGAGATTTTAAGTTAGAGATTTCCTCAACTCATCCCAAGATACTGGGGTGAAAGTGACAGGCTGACTTGGGCATGTGAAGAATGCCACTCTGAATATCCTCCCAGGTTTTTGCCCAAGATCTGTATGGGAATGGGACTAGAGAAGTACAATAGATTTCCAAGACTGTCCTACACAGGGCATCTTGCTTCTTTTAGAAGCTAGCTAATTCTGTTCGCCTGAATCCAGAGGTTTTTCTCCAACAACCTTGAGAAAAGATTTTTTGTTTCATTTTTTTAAATGGTCTGCTGTGTTAGTGGCCATAGATTAATAAGGTTTTTCTTATAATACCTTCAGTATCGTGATAAGCAGGGTTATGTTACAGATGCAAATGACTTAAAATTTTAGTTGCTACAAAGATTTGTTTGACACACTTGATGTTTGTGGTTTGCCTGTGGCTGGGATCCACTTTACTCCAAGGGTAGCATCTAATCGGAACATTGCTAGTTTCAGGACAGGGAAAAGAGGGCAAACAACCAGCTGGCTCTGCGCACTTGGGAATTGATGTACATCATTAATCAAATTTCATCAGCCAGAAAAAGTCACGTACATAGTCAAGTCTGATGGCTATGAGGACTGAGGAAATCTAATACTCCCTCAGAGCAGGACAGCAAATACTTTTGGACAATACTACAACCCACCATATCCTTACAATTTTTCTTTAATCGCCCACAATCCCTCTGGCTATTATATGTTAAGCTTTGTACCACTCGTTTTATATAATCTCATTGGTTATAAAAATTCCCCTCTCCCCCAAAGAGCCATGTTGTACAAACAAGGAAACCATCTTCAAGAGGTGAGTCTCAGGTCAACACAGCTTGTGTGGTAGTATGAGATTCAAACCCAGGTCTGATCTTTTGACCTCAGGCACTACTAGAAAGAATGTCAAGCCCTGTCAGACTAGAAGGGCAGATGATTCTCATCTGGTTGATCTTTTGGATGTTGTCACTACATGCTGGCTGTTGTCTACTACTTTTAAGACTAGCCCTGGGCCAAACTAGCTTTCAGCTGATTCTGAACCAGGGCTATGCTAATGAAGAGATAGACATCAAATTTTGATCTGAGAACTCTTAGGATTAATACCTTTTATTTGTTGGAATAATTGAACTAAAGTACACATGTGTCCCCCATAATAACCCTGTGGTACACAAGAAAGGAAGCTACATTCTAAAATTTGGAAACACTTAGAAATGGGCTGAAGGTCCCTGAAGGTCCCCAAAGGTTGGGTCTGGTTTCTACTAATCGGACTTTTCTCCATTCCATAACACTGAATTCATGCTTCAGGAGGCTCCTCTCTCCCCAATAAGATACATATGTTAATTTTTTTTTTTTTTGGAGCGAAGTCTTATGGTAACTAATAACAGTTTTTAGCTTTTCCAAAACAGTGATTAGAAAAGTCTTCTAGTCACATAAATTTTCATCACTCCAATCAACACAGTCTTGAATGCCATTTCTGCAGCGAGTTCTGGGAATGCAGGCCCAGTCGGCAAAGAAAACAGTATCACATCTCCAGCCTGAACACTTTGAGCACTGTAAAACTAGACAATGCTGTTTATTTTTAAAACCTAACTTAAAATGTCAAGGTGGACTGGAAAAGATGCTACTGGAAAAGAAATAGCCCTTTGGATCTTAAAAATATTAGTGAAAGCTGTCCAAGTGGAAAATTGCAGATGTCTATTAAAGATTCTACATGTTTGAGTGAAAGAATTTGTACTTTGAAAAGCCAAGAAGAGTACTACCTCTCTCCATCAGTCTGAAAATAAACATACTGACACACTACATAAATAAGGGAGGGTCCATATGAGTTTGCATGTTCAATAAGCAGGGAAGAGAATTAGTATTTGCTAATTGTCAGCAAGAAGACAAGGATCTGTTTATACTTTTAGCCTTTTGTTGTCAATGCATCGTTAAGTAACATGCAACTCCTAGGAAGCTTTTCTCTTTCTACCTTCCATAATGACCAGACAAAAGGCAGGAAATGGTCCATTAAGTGTACAATATTTTTTTTTTAAGATTTTATTTTTTTGACAGAGACAGAGCGAGAGACGGAACACAAGCAGGGGGAGTGGGAGAGGGAGAAGCAGGCTTCCCGCCAAGCAGGGAACCCGATGCGGGGCTTGATCCCAGGACCCTGGGATCATGACCTGAGCTGAAGGCAGACGCTTAACAACTGAGCCACCCAGGCGCCCCAAGTGTACAATATTTCTGATAAGTCTTTCACGTAGTGACTGGGGCCATGAGGTATTAGAATTGTATCTACCACCATGATTTTAGAATAATCCACCCTTGCCAGATTATAAAGTGATGGTGCTTGCTGCAGTGCTAAACTACCATAGGGAGCACTGTGGGAGGCCGAGAGGAGAGTGGTGGAGAAGGAGCAAAGGTTAAGTAAAAAAATCTTTGAGAGACAAAGTGTTCAAAAGACTTTTTTTGATCTTTACCAAAATTTCCAAAGAAATCTGGTATCAGATAAGAGTTGCCCTCCAAGATTATTTCCTTTGTTAAACTGCAAATCTGACTGTATTTGCTTCTTAGCTAGAGAACTCACCTACTTTAAATATGCAAACTACTGGAAATGATAGGATTGCTTAATCCCGAATGTAAATATCCTTAGGAAGGTTTCTAAGTATAAATTAATTTATGTAGTTGAAATGTAAGGGTATCTACTCCAAGAACTCATTAAAACATCAATTACAGGCATCTGGGTGCCTCAGTCAGGCATCCGATTCTTGGGTTTGGCTCCGATCGTGATCTCAGGGTCTTAGGATCGAGACCCACATGGTATCTCCCCTCGGTGGGGAGTCTGCTTCTCCCTCTCCCTCTGCCCCTCCCCCTGCTCATGCACATGCACTCTCTCTCTTAATGAATAAATAAATCTTAAAAAAAAAAACATCAATTAAGCAGGGCACCTGGGTGGTTCAATCAGTTTCAAGTACCTGACTCTTGATTTTGGCTCAGGTCATGATCTCAGGGTGGTGAGATCAAGCCCCAGGTCAAGCCCCGCTTCAGGGTCTGCTCTCAGCGGGGAGTCTGATTGAGATTGTCTCTCTCCATCAGCCCCTGTCGCTCCAGCTGCACTCTCACTCTCTCTCTCTCTCTCTCTCTCAAAATAAATAAATAAATAAATATCTTTAAAAAAAAAAACCCAAAACTTCAATTAAGCCAAAGCAATTTTGAGAAAGAAGAACAAAGCTGGAAGCATCAAAATTTGATTTCAAGATATACTACAAAGCTGTAGTAATCAAAACAATATGGTACCGACACAAAAATAGACACATAGATCAATGGAACAGAATAGAGAGCCCACAAACAAACTCACGCTCATATGGTCAATCTACAACAAAGGAGGCAAGAATATACGATGGGGAGAAGACAGTCTCCTCATCACATGGTGCTGGGAAAACC